AGCACAGCAGGTCGGGGCTGCGGTGGCCGGGAGCGGCCACTACACTCCAGTCTGGGCGACAGAGTGAGACTCCAACTCAAAAATAAAAAATAAAAATAAGTAAATAAAATAAAAGTAAACCCCGAAACAACTAATTTGTATGCCACACTTCCGCCCTCCCCTCAACCCACTTCCGGCCTGATAGCTGTGAAGACTGCCACACTTTCAACCTTAATCTCGATGTCCATCTTAAAGGATTCCTTTCTCATCTTTGAATTACCAGTTCACCATAGATCCAAATCCAGATCCCTAGTAAAGGCAATTTGGGCTAAACTCTGCACTTCTTGTCTCCAATATAACTAGGTAGTGGGAAGACACACTGACACGCCCACCCTTCTAAATCCGTGAGCCCTCCTAACCACTAGCAGGGAACCCACACCTCGGGTCTTCGCCTCACCCCCGCTCTGAGGAGTACGCATGCTCCTAGCTACATTTCCGGGCGCGGGTCTGTGGGCGGGGTCACCTAGTCCTAAAGCAGGGGACGGGCGTGGCTACTCGCTATATCCCTTAGCCCCGCCCCATTCCCGTTGGTCCCGCCCCTTTGAGCTGTAACAGGCGGTGTCGCCCTTCGGTCCTGTAAGTTCCTCTGGGCAGAGCGCCCTGCAGTCTTTCGCAGAAAGCGGTCCGGGCGGAAAGCGGTCCGATGGCTGCGACGCGGGCAGGGCCCCGCGCCTGCGAGATCTTCACCTCGCTGGAGTACGGACCGGTGCCGGAAAGCCACGCATGCGCACTGGTGAGAGTCCGTCCGCGGCGCTGCCCTCTGCCTTCCTTAGGCCTGGGCGCCAAGTTTCACGCGCTGGTTCCCGTCATGCCCCGCGGCAGCTCGGCGACTCCGCCCCTCTGGGCTCCGGTGATTCCCGGCGCCCTGTGGGACCCGGCTCTGGGGACGTTCCCGTGAGCCCTCGCGGCTGGCACCTCAGCCCTTTTAGTCTGTTCCCGCGATCGGTGGTGATTCTCGAGCTCCCGCTTCCTCAGAATCCCCCGAGACTCTCGTGTGATGCCCCCTCAGGCCCTTCCGTGGTCCCCCGGGACTCCGGGGACCCCAAGAATCCCCGTCGACTTCCCACGACTCCTCAAAACATCCCGTGGCCCTACGGGGCCCCCCGGAATTCCTGCGGGATGCCCCTGATTACCCGGAGACCTTCGGATTTTCCGTGGGGCCTCCGTGATTCCTCGGGGTCCTTCCACACTTGAGATCGCGTGAACTCATGGCTCTGGGGCGCATCAGAACTTCCTGTAATTACCTGTGGGCCCCTCATTG